AGAAAAACCATATGATCATCTCAACAGATGTATTAAAAGCTTTCAACCAAATTCAACACCATTTATGATAAAAACTCTCCACAAAGTGGGCATAGAGGGAACCTACCTCAACATAATAAAGGCCATATATGACAAACCCACAGCAAACATCATTCTCAATGGTGAAAAACTGAAAGCATTTCCTCTAAGATCAGGAACAAGACAAGGATGTCCACTCTCACCACTATTATTCAACATTGTTTTGGAAGTTCTAGCCATGGCAATCAGAGAAGAAAAAGAAATAAGAGGAATACAAATTGGAAAAGAAGTAAAACTGTCACTGTTTGCAGATGACATGATACTATACATAGAGAATCCTAAAGATGCCACCAGAAAACTACTAAAGCTAATCAATGAATTTGGTAAAGTTTCAGGATACAAAATTAATGCACAGAAATCTCTTGCATTCCTATACACTAATGATGAAAAACCTGAAAGAGAAATTAAGGAAACACTCCCATTTACCATTGCAACAAAAAGAATAAAATACCTAGGAATAAACCTACCTAGGGAGACAAAAGACCTGTATGCAGAAAACTATAAGACACTGATGAAAGAAATTAAAGATGATACAAACAGATGGAGAGATATACCATGTTCTTGGATTGGAAGAATCAATATTGTGAAAATGACTATACTACCCAAAGCAATCTACAGATTCAATGCAATCCCTATCAAATTACCAATGGCATTTTTTACGAACTAGAACAAAAAATCTTAAAAGTTGTATGGAGACACAAAAGACCCCAAATAGCCAAAGCAGTCTTGAGGGAAAAAAACAGAGCTGGAGGAATCAGACTCCCTGACTTCAGACTATAATATAAAGATACAGTAATCAAGACAATATGGTACTGGCACAAAAACAGAAACAAGATCAATGGAACAAGATAGAAAGCCCAGAGATAAACCCAAGCACCTATGGTCAACTAACATATGACAAAGGAGGCAAGGATACACAATGGAGAAAAGACAGTCTCTTCAATAAGTGGTGCTGGGAAAACTGGACAGCTACATGTAAAAGAATGAAATTAGAACACTCCCTAACACCATACACAAAAATAAACTCAAAATGGATTAGAGACCTAAATATAAGACTGGACACTATGAAACTCTTAGAGGAAAACATGGGAAGAACACTCTTTGACATAAATCACAGCAAGATCTTTTTTGATCCACCTCCTAGAGTAATGGAAATAAAAACAAAAATAAACGAATGGGACCTAATGAAACTTCCAAGCTTTTGCACAGCAAAGGAAACCATAAACAAGACGAAAAGACAGCCCTCAGAATGGGAGAAAATATTTGCCAACGAATCAACGGACAAAGGATTGATCTCCAAAATATATAAACAGCTCATGCAGCTCAATATTAAAAAAACAACCCAATCCAAAAATGGGCAGAAGACCTAAATAGACATTTCTCCAAAGAAGACATACAGATGGCCAAGAAGCACATGAAAAACTGCTCAACATCACTAATTATTAGAGAAATGCAAATCAAAACTACAATGAGGTTATCACCTCACACCAGTTAGAATGGGCATCATCAGAAAATCTACAAACAACAAATGCTGGAGAGGGTGTGGAGAAAAGGGAACCCTCTTGCACTGTTGGTGGGAATGTAAATTGACATGGCCACTATGGAGAACAGTATGGAGGTTCCTTAAAGAACTAAAAATAGAATTACCATATGACCCAGCAATCCCACTACTGGGCATATACCCTGAGAAAACCCTAATTCAAAAAGACACATGCACCCCAATGTTCATTGCAGCACTATTTACAATAGCCAGGTCATGGAAGCAACCTAAATGCCCATCGACAGATGAATGGATAAAGAAGATGTGGTTCATATATACAATGGAATATTACTCAGCCATAAAAAGGAATGAAATTCGGTCATTTGTTGAGACGTGGATGGATCTACAGACTGTCATACAGACTGAAGAAGTCAGAAAGAGAAAAACAAATATCGTATTTGAACTGGTTTGCAGAGCAGAAATTGAGACACAGATGTAGAGAACAAACGTATGGACACCAAGCAGGGAAAGCAGCGGAGGGTGGTGGTGGTGGTGTGATGAATTGGGCGATAGGGATTGACATTTATACACTGATGTGTATAAAATTGATGACTAATAAGAACCTGCTGTATAAAAAAATATATATATTATTCAAGTCATCCAATGATGGAATGACCCAGTTGACTGTATGACTGATTTGACCAATAACAGAGTGATGTGAGTAACAACAACCACAACAAAATTAAATAAAAATTAAAAAAAGACATAGTTTGAAAGTAAAAGGAAGGAAAATGACATACCATACAGTAAACATAAAAATTTGTTTTTCTGTCAGGTTTGGCTATGTTACTGTCAGACAAAGTAGGTCTCAAGAAAAGAAGTATTACCAAGGATAAAAATAAGGCTCAACAAAATTTTGAAAATTTGAAATCTGACAGTTTGTTCTCTGACTATAATGCAGTTAAATTAGAAATCATTAAGATATCTAGAAAAACCCCTCCAAATACTTGGAAATTAAACAATACAAATCTAAATAACCCATCAGTCAAAATATAAGAAAATAAAATAACAGGCATGGATCTGAATTTCTGCTTCATCACTTACTATCTTTGACTTTCACAAGTAACTTAACTTCACTTTGCCTCAGTTTTCTCATCTTTAAATCTAAGTAAACTGGTTAAAATCACTCCTAAATCTTAAAATATATCAGATTTGTATTTTGTTTCAATCCCACCACCAATAATGAATGCGGATTATTTTTAATGGTAATAACAGCAATAAACTCTATATATATACATAGAGGACACTATTATTTTTAAAATACCCTTTAGATGTGAAAAGATGTTCAACATCCCTACTTATTAGAGAAATGCAAATCAAAACTACAGTGAGATACCACTTACACCAGTCACAATGGCCATCATTAAAAAGTCTATAAAAAAAAAAAAAACTGGGTTCAAGACCAAGTTTGCTAATCGCTACGTGATCCCTGACACCGGGAGTTAATCTCTGAAATGGAGATAGGTGGTTGTGAAGATTAAATGAGATAAAGCATATAGCACATAGCCCTTCCCCCTCACACATTCCTGGTTACATGAAGGCCCCCCTCCAAATTCTCCTAGTGCAGAAATTTCCCGGGCGAGGTGTAATAAGGGAAACACTCTCACCTTTTCGTCCAACGAAACTGGCTGAACCCTTATTGTGTGTCAGGCACTATGTATTTGGACTAGCTTTCAAAACTCAGTTTAAAAGCACATACAATTACTGAGCCCTCCGGTTACCTGCCCAGGGACAAGCCCCCCACGCCTCGGCCCCTGCAAGCCCCGCCTTCTCGGTCCCTCAGACTCCTCCCCTTGGCACTAGCTCGCTCCACCCATTCCGCTCTCGCTAGTTCCCGCGCTCTGAGGCGGACAGTACCTGCAGGCCACTCCGCTTGTTCCAGGTGAAAATGGACCCTGGATACCCGCTCAGAGCCAAGAGCAGTTCGTGGATCATTCCCACGGCGGACCTCGAGTCCCTATATCCGTCGCACCCTCCTCCAGAGCCTCACCAGGCGACCAAAGAGGCGAGCGCTCCCTCCTCTACACGCGCACAGGACCCCGGGAAGGGCAGTTCCTCCTGACTGTACCCGCCGAGACTACTGCTGAGGAGAGCTGACGGGAAGCCGGGAAGGGGTCGGCGCGCCGCGTTCCGGAAGTGAGCCGCGCTCGCCTGGGCCCACTCGCAGGCTCCAGCTGGTGCTCCGCAGGAGTCGCGGGATCTTCCCTCGCGCATGCGCCTCCAGCGCCCGGGTCGCCCGCTCGGACTTCCGGTTTGGGAGCTGAACTGGAAGGCTGGAGAGCCCGGGCTGGAACCCTACCCCGAGTGGGTGAGGCTAGCCCGCGGTCAGAAATGCGGGTGGGTTGAGTGACAGCCCGAGAAGGAGAAGCTCCCAGGGGTGGGTCGGAGGGTGCTCTCAGGGCGCTTAGCCCGGTCGGAGGCCTCTGGAGGGGCTCACGACGGCTTTCGAGAGTAACCTGGCCGGAGGGAGAGAAGACAAAGAGGCCGGAACCCCGCATCCGCGAACCTTGCAGCCCTCCGAGCGCCTGGCCAGCACCCGAGCTTGTCCTCAGGAGACCCATGACTACTGCCCCTTCGGACTCCCACTCTCCACCAACTCAGTGGGACTCTCCCCAAGCCCACCCGGCCCTCGCTTCAGGAGCCCAAACCAACTTCTCTCAGTGCGCGAGGTTTCCATTCAGTAGTTCCCGGCTATTTACTGAGCGGTTACTTTTGCTGTGAGGGAGAACAAAGACCCAGTATTTAGTACTTGATTTTTGTTTGGGGTGGGAATTGGTAGTGGTGGAGTCCGAGGGGGGCGGGGCGGACGGAGAGGGCCCGGGGAAGGACGGCGGAGGTACTGGGGGAGATCAGCTGCGACCCTCTGGACAGAGGCTTTTTGTTGCCTTTA